TTGTACAGAAGATGTAATCTTTTACATTTCATAACTAAAGCACTGAAATATCTATGTCTTTCTTTGATAGAATATGTTATAATTTGCCTGGCTGGCAGCCTTGGTCGTCACAATATTTTGCTCAGACCATATTTTCCTTGCTATGTCATCTTCTTCAGTCACTAAATCTGTATCTGTGGAAGTTGAAGTGACACTGAAGTTAGGTCTCCAATCACACAATATATATGGAGTATGGTCCTTTGTTTGTTTTTGTAACTTAAGTTTGTCTGGAGCATAACTTCCTTGTTATTTCATTTACTATTCACCAAACTTTTCTTAAGAAGATGGAGTCACTCACTGAAACTGGGGCTGGCACGCCTCTACTTACAGAGTTATTGGCCTTTACTTACAGAGTTACTGGCCTTTACTTACAGAGTTATTGGCCTTTACTTACAGAGTTATTGGACTCTACTTACAGAGTTATTGGCCTCTACTTACAGAGTTATTGGCCTTTACTCCTGTTTTTGTCTTCCTTGAACTATCACTTTCATTCACCCAACTTGTTATTACTATTGATCGTGGAAAGATTAAGTGTTTCGAATTTCTAAGAGTGTTAGGTCTTGTGCCTATGTCTATACCGATTTGTTTTGACTCTTTGTTCACTTTTTCAGAGTCATTTTCCTGATAATTTTCATTTTTTTAAACATTACTCTGTTTTGATAAGCTGAATTGAATATGTGCAAAAGGAAGCAATCTCTATACTGAAGTATTTAAAAAGTTGAGGTGAAATAGGCAGTCCTTGTGATATGCCTTTGATAGTGAAGTAATTACCTTCAATATATTTTTCCATTTCATCACATCACAAGAAATGATTCAATTTCCCTGCTATATTACAAACTGTAGTTTGTTTTTGATACGTGATGATACTTTATAAAACCTTATGTTTCACTAATACGTCAGCAGCACGGGTAATGTTAACTCTTTGTTGTACTATTGAGTCTAAACACAGACAAGGTGGACTGTAGCAGTGTATTTAGTCTTCTCCTGGAGGTTTCCAGTTAATTCTTCTTCTCCTGGAGGTGTCTAGTTAATTCTTCTTTTCCTGGAGGTTTCTAGTTTATTATTCTTCTCCTGGAGGTTTCTTGTTAATTCTTCTTCTCCGGGAGGTGTTTAGTTAATTATTCTTCTCCTGGAGGTTTCCAGATAATTCTTCTTCTCCTGGAGTTCTAGTTAATTATTCTTCTCCTGGAGGTGTCTAGTTAATTATTCTTCTCCTGGAAGTGTCTAGTTAATTCTTCTTCTCCTGGAGGTGTCCAGTTAATTATTCTTCTCCTGGAGGTGTCTAGTTAATTATTCTTCTCCTGGAGGTGTCTAGTTAATTATTCTTCTCCTGGAGGTGTCTAGTTAATTATTCTTCTCCTGGAGGTGTCTAGTTAATTATTCTTCTCCTGGAGGTGTCTAGTTAATTATTCTTCTCCTGGAGGTGTCTAGTTAATTATTCTTCTCCTGGAGGTGTCTAGTTAATTATTCTTCTCCTGGAGGTGTCTAGTTAATTATTCTTCTCCTGGAGGTGTCTAGTTAATTATTCTTCTCCTGGAGGTGTCTAGTTAATTATTCTTCTCCTGGAGGTGTCTAGTTAATTATTCTTCTCCTGGAGGTGTCTAGTTAATTATTCTTCTCCTGGAGGTTTCTAGTTTATTATTCTTCTCCTGGAGGTGTCTAGTTAATTATTCTTCTCCTGGAGGTGTCTAGTTAATTATAGTTAGTTGTTATTATCAGCATAATAAATAGGAAAGTCCAGCCCTCAGGTCCAGCCCTCAGGTCAAGCCCTCAGGTCCGCCACCAGGACTATGGTGTTTGACAGTTGTTTAAACTATAATGTGAGGGTTTGGTGAAGGTTTGACTGTTGGTGTTGGGGACAATACGACCAGTAAACAGGGTATTATAATAACCGTATAGTTAATTCATGGCAAAATAATTGCATAGATAATGTTAACTTTCCTTGTGAACTATCTATTGACATCAGATTTAGTGTGATATGTTCATAAATAAAAATGCACATAAATATTTTTTAATGTTCAATCATAACAATTGTATAAGAGATATATGTTGTAAAATTTTCCCTTTCTTCTAAAAACCAGACAAAATTAATTGTGAGATTAAATTCCTCACAGACTGGCTGTACATTACTGTAGCACACGTTACAACAAGGGACGTGTTTTTGTGTCCGGCTGATTAATAAACCTTGGTCATTGTTTGTAGTTTAAGGTATTAAACTTAGTTTATACCAGTAATAACCTTNTGTAGATTGACCTGACTTCTACCAATACAGATAGCCCTATAGTAGCCTAGCTAACTTTGTCATTACTCTTTGTTATGAGAATTTGTCATCTCCTTCAAATCTCCCATTAAGGAAATCGAGACCTGAGATGAAAACTTGCTCAACCTTGAGATTTTTCTAGAGGGAAAAGTAAAGAAAACCGAAGTGTTAGTAAGGTGTTCAGCAATGTCTAGCACAATATTATATTGTTTTTGATTAAGTTATCGCCTCTTTCCAATCCTCCATTTAGAGTTGGAGATTTCCCTCCTAGACCTATATAGGTACACAGCTTTAGTGAGGTGTTTAGGCCAGTCTGTTATGCTACTCTGTGGCTCTTTGCATTGGAAAGCAAAAGGCAAAGTAACTGTGAAAATGAGTCAAGATATTTACAGCTTTATTAACTTTTTTATTGTTCATTTATAATCCCAAATAAATTATCAGGTAAATATATGATATATTCATCTTTCTTGTTATTAAAAGATCTTTTGAAAACCTTTAAGTTATTATTCGAAGAAAGTGACTTTCTCCTGCCTACACAACTCCAACAACCCAGGTGGAGTATAAATTGGTCTGGGGTGGATGTTGCAGTATCTGTGCTGTAGCATTCAAGTGAGGTGGCACTATAAATGATACCATTGAAAGCACAGTCCAACTACAAACAGAACACAATACATCTCCAGCAAACACACAGGCATACACACACGGGGAGAAATTAACCAGGTGGCACAGGACTGGAATATCTGTAGAATCTCTAGCTATTGTATATCTATGTACTGTAACCCGCTGTAGAGTGGAATATCTGTAGAATTTCTAGCTGTTCTAGCTAGATAAGGCGCTTCATCCAAATTAATGTTTTATATATTATTTGTTTATTGATTGAATGTAATATGTAACAAACTAAGCCCTGAGTAGGTACTGAAAATAGCTCCTATTTCTTTTTAAACTAACAAAAAAATGTTATCCTCCATTTTAAAGTGACGCAAAAAAAATAAATAGAAAAAGTGGAATTACATTTGGTGTACCCATACAATGGTAAAAGTGTGGATTTGGCAGTAGATAGGTCGAGTTTGACCCTGGAATTTCCCTGTGTCTTTTTGTTTATATTTGTTTCTTATTTCAAATAGTCAAATTTAAAACAGCTGTAATTAACTGTACAAAAACATTGTCAGTTTTGTACTACATGGAACACATCTTCAATTGTTGTGCCGATAGTTATAACACAGTTTATCTTCATGGAACTCTTTACCTTAATTGACCTTGAAAATAAAAATAATTAAAAAAAATCTATCAACAAAGATTGATAAGGTGAACGTTAATGATATGTGAATTATGGTGTTAGATTGTGCTATAAAGTGTAAAAACATTTGTCCTTAATCAACTTTGAAGGTCACAGATGTGGGATGTGTTTTCCAACAGCGTAAATGACAGTGATACAGACCCCTTGGGCCTCTTGTTCAGACAATATGACTATCTGTTAATGCACTTTTAATATATAAATGGCAACAAAGTCCTTAATACTTGCTGCTAAGATAAAAGAAAACAATAAACAAGAGATATGGCTTTACTGCTCTTTTGAAGAAGACAGTTGGAACTGAGGTACACCTCTCGTAAATTATAACATGAAGGAAAAGTGAAATAAAAGTACAGAGGCAAACAGGCAACAGATAAAAAAACTGAATTATTACAAGATTCCAAAAATACAGCTCCAACTGACAAAGGAACTCAAAGTTAGGGTAATGGAATTGTGAAATAGGTATTGGCTGCAGACTGTTTAGTTTTTGATTAGCTGTCTTCTAGTCATTGCTAGCTCGAGTCCTAACTTCCTAGTCTGCTGCTTATTAACTAACAATAGTAAAGTGTTTAACCAAAGGGATCTTGGGAAATTACCTTGAAAGAGAGTTGGTCTCTGTAGACAGGTGATCTATATAGAGTTGGTATCTGTAGACAGGTGATTTATATAGAGTTGGTATCTGTAGACAGGTGATTTATATAGAGTTGGTATCTGTAGATAGGTTATATATAGAGAGTTGGTATCTGTAGATAGGTTATTTATATAGAGTTGGTATCTGTAGACAGGTGATTTATATAGCGTTGGTATCTGTAGACAGGTGATTTATATAGAGTTGATCTCTATGTAGACAGGTGATTTATGTAGAGTTGGTATCTGTAGACAGGTGATTTATATAGAGTTGGTCTCTGTAGACAAGTTATTTAGAGAATTGGTCTTCATATACAGGTGATCTACCAGGTAAGTTCTCTATTATGGACTTTATAGGTGCCCTACCCAAGTTTATGTGGAAGTACCTTGTTGTGAGGTTCTAGAGAGCATTAATGAGGGTTTGGAAAGTGTCCATAAGCTTTTTAGCTCACCTGGCTGTCCTGCTATAAAACCCATGTCATGAATGGCAAAGTGGAGTTTTACTCAATTTAGTCAGGAGCATTGTTCAAAACAACAAAGGGGACGATCTAGAACAAAATTCAGTATTATTGGAAATAATATGTGACTATCTTTATACATATAATAAGACCAGGTGACTTATATACCTGGTGACTTAATATATATACAATGATATCTGGTGACTGATATATACAATGATATCTGGTGACTTTAATTTATATACAATGATATCTGGTGACTTTTATATATATACAATGATATCTGGTGACTTACATATATATACAATGATATCTGGTGACTGATATATACAATGATATCTGATGACTTTTATATACAATGATATCTGGTGACTTTAATTTATATACAATGATATCTGGTGACTTTTAGATACAATGATATCTGGTGACTTTTATATGCAATGATGTCTGGTGACTTTTATATACAATGATATCTACATAGATATCTGGTGACTTTATATATAATGAATGTCTGGTGACTTTTATATACAACGATATCTGATGACTTTTATATACAATGATATCTAGTGACATTTATATCCAATGATATCTGGTGACTTTTATATACAATGATATCTGGTGACTTTTATATATAATGATATGACTATTTTTATAATGAATATCAGTTATAGAATGTGTGTTTTTCGTAGGTTGATTTAAGTTTTTTCAAACACAAATATTAAACAGCAACGTTTTAGCGTCAGGGCCATAGCTGATGGAGATACCACACATTTAGGGGATGTAGGGTTATATAGGGCCATAACAGAGGAAGATGGCTATTTTTGATTTTATAAAGACAATTATATATAGCCTGGTTAAGCTGACTGTCCACTCTGTTACTTTAAAGGTGTTTTAGTGCATAAGGGAATTATTTTTTTATTAAAATTGACACTATTCTCTTGATCTGAGATTAAATGTTCAAAGCTTGATTACGTAGAAGACACTTTTCATTTATAAAAATATGAATCAGGGATTTTGAAACCAGTGAATATTTCTTTACAAAAAACACCTTACAGATGTTTTTGAATTCCAAACTGTTAATCAACTTCAAAAAATAAAATAATAAAATTGTTAAAGTTTTCTTTTTAAAAAGAAGTTCTTAAATGTAGAGGTGTTGAGATATAAAGCTTACAATACACGCTTTAACCTGCACCAGTATGATCGCCAGCCAGGGGATATTGACAGGTACATCGACATCTCTTGTGGATAAATAGAACCTATTGCATGGCATTGATGGTGTGATATTTATGTATTGGTTTGTAGACGATATGTAAATTAGCTGTTAATCCTGCCCTTGTTGCTCATATTGATTGATCAGAATGGTGTCATGTCTTTTGACAAGCTTTCTATAAGGGTCAACAGAAATTGGAATTTCTGCCCCAAATCATGGCCCTTTGAGTGGTTGCTTGCTACAGTCTGTCATATTGAATTTATAAGAGTCTCGGCGATTGTTGTACCAATCACAACACAGAATGTGTCTGAGTGTCTTGCGGAAGTATGGGCTGATGATACAGTAGAGGACAAAGTTCACAGAGAAGTTCACAGACTGCATAAAGTTCATGACTACCTCAATAGCTTTGTAAGTGGCATCACTGTCGCTTTTGGTGATCTGGGCGATGTGCAGCACGATCTCCGATGGTGCCACCAATATGAAGAACATGACAATGATTACAATCAGTGTGATTGTCAGGGTGTTGTTAGGATCCTTAGGGTCCTGTTCACAGTGAAACTTCTGTCGCAGTTTGTAAGATTTATGGATTTTGTAGCAGATGCAGATGTTAAATCCAATCAGAAGAATGAGTGGAATGAAGTTTCCGACGATGGCCCAAAGAACACGGTAGCCGTGGTCCAGCGTGTTACTGTCACACAGAGGCACTTGTTTTAGATGGTACACTTTGGAGGTCCTATTTTCACATAACACTTCATGAATTTGATAGCGCCACAACACTGGTATATTAAAAGCCACAGATACAAGATACACAAGCACAATAATTAGCTTTGTTTTACTCAGCGTCATAAAGAGTTTGCTGTTGAGGGGATGGCAGATTGCTATATACCTTTCTGTTGCCATGGTTACTGTCAACCAGGTACTTGACATGATGAACACATTGATGACTGCTGTTGAATACATCCCATAATATAAAATGAAGCCTTTAGTCTTGTAATACTCGCCGGTTGGCAGGAAGGTCGTAGGAAAGGCAAAAACACAGAACATTAAATCTGACAGCGCCAATCCAATAAGACACACATACGCAGCCTGTTCCACTGTTCGGTACGACTTCTGTAATTTCCGACGAGTGAGAATCGTCAAGTTTAGAATATTTCCCACAATTCCAAACAAGCAGACCACAGGAAGTCCATAGTTATAAAAGACATTGCTGATATCTTTGAGGACTCGTTTCTGCGCCTCAGTAAAGTTTACTGGGGGAGCTAACCCTGACACATTTCCTATGGGAACACACTCCATGTTGGAACTCTTCACTGTTTAAAAGTCATATCACTGGCTCCAAAAGGTCGTGTGCTGAGTAAGTGATGAAAGGTTTTAAACTTCCTTTAGTTAGGACGGGACACAACCTGTGGAACAAGAAAACACAAAGTCAGATTATTTTAGGGGAAACATTGAAATCAAGCTGAAAAAAGATTGATCAATTTGCTTTGACCTCTCAATAACTCTCTATAGCTATCTGTCCAGAGTAACTACACCATAGTGAACGGTCATCACCAACATTTCACTGTAATACAGAAATTCTTTGTGATTACTGAGTAGGCAATGTATTAAGAACAATGATAATTTTATGAAATCAGTTTTGTACTTGCCATTCTTTTATGCCTTTCCACATGACCGCCCCCCCCAAAAAAAGAGAGAGGGGAGGGTAGAAAGAAGACAGCAATCACATTGGATATCCTCCCATCTATTTACATTTCTTATTTAGATGCCAATTTCACAGTATTTTAGTTATCGCATAAAAATCAAAACTGGTACTGCAGGTGGGTTTTCCAAAGCAAGATTAAGACCCAGATAGGCATGATTCATCAAAGGTCAAGGTTATACTGTTACTAAGAATAGAAACTTCTTGTCCAGATCCCAATTTCAGAACAGAGTTATCGCATGTCCAGGTAAATGTTACTAAATACAGAATTTCACAATCTGATTAAAATCATCTGTTACATGGCTCCGCCTGAACATCTGAATGTGCCGCGGTCAGGATCACGTTCAAGTGACTTTTAGATGAACCAATCAGAGGCGCGCTGGCAAAGGTTTGCCAGTGAAGCGAAATATCATGGTTGATAGAAAAATAGTGAGGGGTATCGAACAGATTATTTTTCCAAAACAAATATGGTGGCAGGAACTGACGTTTCTACGACGCCAAGGAAAACGTACCCATTGGGTAATAATTGTGTAGCCAACACCGCCATACAGTCTTTCTTCTCTTATAAAGCTTTGAATATCTTTTTCTGTTCGGGTTTCAGACGATGAATCTCAAATAACTTCAGAACTTTCGCATCATTCTCATCAATGTCCAACATATTTGTTACAACTCCGAGGGCCCTTTTGAAAGAGGGTCTCTGATTGGTCAAAATTTAATGAGTATTTATAAATATAAAGGTCACCTGAACGTGACCCTGACCGCGGCACACTCAGATGTTCAGGCGTAGTCAAAGTTAACAAAGCCATATAACATATGATTTTAATCAGATTGAGAATTTCACAGAATGAACTTCCAATTTGGATGCTTACTAGCAAGAATGATTGTACAGAACTTTAACATTTATATGTTGGGTGCCCTTGGACACAGGAAGACTATTGATTTCAGGTCACAGTGTTACTAAATGTGGGTTGCCCTAAGAAGGGAAAGATATGGTTTATGTACCAGGGGGTATTTAACATGGTAAATACAGTACCTGTGTATGTACTAATGGGGTATTTAACATGGTAAATATGGTACCTGATATGTACCAGGGGGTATTTAACATGGTAAATACAGTAACTGATTATGTACTAATGGGGTATTCAACATGGTAAATATGTTACCTGTTTATGTACCAATGGGGTATTTAACATGGTAGATATGGTACCTGTTTATGTACCAATGGGGTATTTAACATGGTAAATATGGTACCTGTTTATGTACCAATGGGGTATTTAACATGGTAAATATGGTACCTGTTTATGTACCAAGGGGGTATTTAACATGGTAAATATGGTACCTGTTTATGTACAAGGGGGTATTTAACATGGTAAATATGTTACCTGTTTATCTACAAGGGGGTATTTAACATGGTAAATATGCACCTGTTTATGTACAAGGGGTATTTAACATGGTAAATATGTTACCTGTTTATGTACCAAGGGGGTATTTAACATGGTAAATATGGTACCTGTTTATGTACAAGGGGGTATTTAACATGGTAAATATGTTACCTGTTTATCTACAAGGGGGTATTTAACATGGTAAATATGTTACCTGTTTATGTATAAGGGGGTATTTAACATGGTAAATATGTTACCTGTTTATGTACCAAGGGGTATTTAACATGGTAAATATGGTACCTGTTTATGTACAAGGGGGTATTTAACATGATAAATACGGTACCTTTTTATATGCAACTATATTGGAAAGCCATAGAGAAATTTTAAGGCAGAATCTATTTATTAGGGCCCCGTATCGGAGATACGTTTGCCCTATAGTAATCACTATGTCTGTCTGTCTGTCTGTCCGTCCACAAATTTTGTTCCTGGCTGATAACTTTGGTATTTATTGACTGATGTACATGAAACTTGGTCAAGGTGTTCAGTTCACAAAAATACACATTGAGGTAAAAAGTCAAGGTCAAGGTCATTAGGTTCAAAGGTCAAGGTCAAATTTTACATCTTTTCACTTATGAACATTTTGTTATGACATCATGAAGCAAAGTTGATCAGAATTAAACAAGGAGTCAACTGACCAAAGGTCAAGGTCATCATGTCAGTGGTCAAGGTCAAATTTTGTAGCTTTTTACTGGTGAACATTTCGCTATGACATTATGAAGCAAAGTTGTTCGGAATTAAACAAAGAGACACACTGAGGTAAAAGTCGAGGTCAAAGGTCAAGGTCATTAGATTCAAAGGTCAAGGTCAAATTTTGCATCTTTTCACTGATGAACATTTTTTTATGACATGATGAAGCAAAGTTGATCAGAATTAAACAAGGAGTCAACTGACCAAAGGTCAAGGTCATCATGTCAGTGGTCAAGGTCAAATTTTGTAGCTTTTTACTGGTGAACATTTCGCTATGACATTATGAAGCAAAGTTGTTCGGAATTAAACAAAGAGACACACTGAGGTAAAAAGTCGAGGTCAAAGGTCAAGGTCATTAGATTCAAAGGTCAAGGTCAAATTTTGCATCTTTTCACTGATGAACATTTTGTTATGACATGATGAAGCAAAGTTGATCAGAATTAAACAAGGAGTCAACTGACCAAAGGTCAAGGTCATTGGGTCAAAGGTCAAGGTTAAATTTTGTATCTTTTCACTGGTGAACATTTCGCTATGACACTTTGAAGCAATGTTGCTCAGAATTAAACAAGGAGTCAATTGACCAAAGGTCAAGGTCACTGGGTCAAAGGTGAAGGTTAAATTTTGTACCTTTTCCCTGATGAACATTTTGTTATGACATTATGAAGCAATGTTGTTCAGAACTTAACACAGAGTCAACTGACCTTAGGTCCAGGTTACGGGGTCCAAAGGGTCAAGGTCAAGTTTTGTATTTTTCACTGATGAACATTTTGTTATGATATTAAGAAGCAAAGTTGGTCGGAATTAAAGAATAAGTCAACTGACCAAAGATCAGGGTCACTGGGTTAATGGTCAAGGTCATTTGGGTCCAAAGGTCAAAGACAAAGTGGATCTCTGACTTTGACCCTGGCTCTTGATGGAGGAGGTATATAAGGTGAAATAAAACAAATCAAAGCTAACAAATGAGTATTGCACCGGTATTTACATTTCTGTTAGCCCAGCAAATATGGAGGTGGAAGGAAACAAGACTCACATCATAGTACATGTAAAATGTATATTTTGCTTCCTTGCGATTCTTTTTGAAGTCCAAATGTCAAACGTCAAGCTCAGCTATATGGGCAGATTGCTTCTTGATGATTATGGGGGATATATTGCCACAAGACGGGGCCCTTACTGACCTGTCAGTGTTCTAGTTTTCATTTGTTTGCGTATGTTTACGACAGGACTGTGAATAACAGGATCTTTTATTTCCCATTAAGGGATCACAAGGGAATTTTCTGATTATGAGAACAACAAAAGGGATTAACAAGACAATTTTCGAGACAAACATCAATTAAGCTCAGGAGTATGCACATAAATATTGCCAAATATCTGTCATTTTGGTCTGTCCAGAAATTATTTTTCCCCAGAGAAAAGTATCGCATGCATACATGGTAAACACTGTGTTTGATTGGTCAGAATATTACGTATTATTTATGCTACAGGGAAATTAGTTGCCGAGTTTTCAGTTACAAATGACTTTTGTTGTATGGAGGGTTTCCACTGTCACTTGGTCTCGTCATATTTTAATTGAGACAGAAATGATTAGTATGGATGCTCAGTCTCCAATACTTTGTTATATGATAGTTGACATATTATTGTAAATGTGATTTCCTGGTCATGTGGGTGGATAATGTCCCCTTAATGCTGTTGATTGATCCTAAATAGTTGTTACGGTAACACAAAACACTGTCTGTCTCCGGTAACACAAAACACTGTCTGTCTCCGGTAACACAAAACACTGTCTGTCCCCATAAACCTGACCTGGAATGTATCGTCTCAGTCTCGAGAAAACCAGAATAAGACCTCCAGTACTATGCATGTGTACATGATGTAATTTTGATTATTCTAAATTGAGGTTTATACAAGACAAAAATCTATTCAAATAACCCGCCCAACTGGCGCAGTCACAATCACGTGACCATATACTGACCTGTAGCAATTAGGCCTAGGGGGCCCTCAATTAATTGTCGATAGTGGTCATTGTTTTCCGAAGGGTTGGTCAGTTTGGCGGTTTTAATTTTGTTGCACTTTCTTGCTCGACTTGACGGTTAAAATCGTTAACCATCATACCCTTTTTTAACATGGGAATTCGTGTTTATTCTGGAACATTATTTAGCTACATTCTGGATTACGTGTGCATTGCTTGACGATTCGTGTTCGTGCATGCTTCGCCTTCGGTTCTGAACCCACTCATCGGTGCGCCCGCCATTTTTTGTTTTGAACCTGAAAGTTTTCTGTTATCGCATTATGAGCACGTCAGCTGGTTCTGCGTTATGTACGTTGATGACGAATGATGACTATTTATTTGTTTTCTGCATCAGTTTTTGCCGTGAGTTTCACAGGATATTGTAGCGTTCTCGAAGTGTTGATTATTTATTCTCGACTAGGCTTACTCGATACAACCCCGAATTAATTAAAAACTGGACGCTTTCCCGGCTAAAAGAAGCTTGTGAGGAACTAGGAATTCACGCCCCAGGTAACGCTCGACGATTTGTTCTCGTTCGTTTGCTGCGTGCCATCGATAGGATTTCCCCCG